TGATGCAAGAGATATATATTGACATAAGGATCAATTCATAAAGAAAATAACAATTATAAACACATACACACATACATATCAGAGCTCCCAAATACATGAAGAAAATATTGACAGAATTGAAGGTAGGAATAGACAGTTCTATAGTAATAGTTGGAGACTTATATACCCCACTTAATAAGGCATAGAACACCTAGACAGAGGATCATTAAGGTAGTAAAGGATTTGAACAACTCTTTTCACTACCTAGACAATAACATATGGAACACAACACCCAACAACAGCTGAATATTCTTTGTAAATGCACACGAAACATTTCCTCAATAAACCTCCCAACCGAGTTGAGGACAGATGGGCTTCACTGCTGAGTTTTACCAAACATTTAAAGCAGAATTAACACCAATTCTTTTCAAACCCTTCCAAAAAGGAGTAATGTTTCCTAAGTCATTCTGTGAGGCATGCGTTACCCTGATATGAAAAATACCACAAGAAAACTACATATCAATATTTCTTAGTAATACAGATTCAACAATCCCAACAAAGTATTAGCTAACTGAATCCAACAGCATAGTAAAAGGATTATACAACACCATGACCAAGTATATTTATCCATGAAATGAAAGGGTGGCTCAACATCAATCAACATAGTACACCTAAATAGAACAAAGAGAAAAAAAAGCATGATTACCTCAGTTGATGCACAAAAAGCATTAAAGTCCTATACCTCTCTATGGTAAAAATACTCAAATTAGGAATATTAGAGAATACATTCAACATGATTAAGAAGCATTTGTAAAAAACCCAAAGCTAGTGTCATACTCAATGGTGAAACACTGAAGGCTTTTCCAGTAAGATTAGCAATAAAACAAGGATAGCCACTACTCTTCAACACTGTACTAGACGTTCTAGCCAGAGCATCTGGACAAGAAAAAGAAATAAAGATATCATAGTTGGAAAGGAAGAAGTAAAACTACCTCTATTTGTAAATACCATGATCATATATATAGAAAACTCCAAAGAATACACACACACATACACACACATCTAGAGTTAATAAAATAATTCAACTAAGTTCCAAGAGTGCAAGAAAAACAAACCCAAATCATTTGTATTTATACACCAACAATCAACAACCTGAAAAGGGAATTAAGAAAACAATTCCATTTGCAACAGCATCCAAAAGAATAAAACGCCTAGGAATAAATTTAACCAAAGAAATGAAAGAAGACCTAAATAAAATGAAAGACATTTTATACATTGGATTGGAAAACAATACAGCTAGTTGACAATACTACCCAAAATGACTGATAGATTCAATGTATTTACAGATACATTTGACTTTGTCTATAGATAACAATTAAAATTCTATCAGCCCTTTTGCAGAAATGTAAAGCTAATCTTCAAATTCACAGGGAATTGCAAGGGACCCTAAAGTGCCAAGGCAATATTGAAAATAAGAACAAAGGGGTGGGGCAAAGGGGAAATGGGAAATTGCTTAATGGAATTTAGTTTTGCAAGATGAAGAGTTCTGAAGATTGATTACATAGCAATGTGAATGTACTTAACGTTACTGAATTGTACACTTTAAAATGATTAAGTTGGTAATTTTTTTTCTTTTTTAACCACAGTAAAAAAATTCCCATATAAATCCTAGAAATCACCTCGTTTCAACCTCTTAATTGATTTTACACATGGAGAGCTGAGGCCCTGAGACGGGGAGCTGCCCCAAATCATAGTTGTTCAGAAGAAGCAGAGCTGGGAGTAGAACTCATAGTTTCTACTCTAAGTCTAGAGTCTTTCTACTGCACACTCTCGCCACCCTAACTTTAAGGCTCTGAAATTGAAACGGGTGATGGGAAAAGAGAACTTTACATTTAAAAAGAAAAATGCCTAGGAATTTAGACAGTGTGCAATTAAAGAGTAAACATACTCTGTGGGGTGAGGAGTGGGGAGTAAATGATTAATGGGTATCAGGTGTTCTTTTGAGGTGATGAACATTCTAGGAATTTGATAAATGTGGTGGTTACAACATTGTGAATATATTAAATGCCACTGAATTGTACACTTCAAAAAGGTTCATTTTATGTTATGTGAAATTTCACCTGAATTTAAAAAGAAATCTAAATTTATTTCCATTTCCTGAATCAAATTTTCTAAGCTATATCTTTCCATCTTACTTTTCAGGTATGGGTGTTTACTTGTTTCAATTTTTAAGCTTACAAATTTATGCCTATGTGGAACAAAGGCAGAAACTCAAAAAGTCCAAAAAGCATATATAGTTGAACTTTGAACATGGGTTTCAACTGCATGGGTCCACTTATATGCAGATTTTTTCCCTCTATACATATATTGGAAACTTCTTTGGAGATGTGTAACAATTTGAAAAAATACTTTTTTTCCTCTAGCTTATTGTTAAGAACACAGTATTCACATACATACATATACAAAATTTGTGCTAACTTTTTATGTTATTGGTAAGGCTTCTGGTTAATAGTAGACTACTAGTCATTAAGTTTTTGGGGAGTCGAGTGTTATATGCAGGTTTTCGACTACAAAGGGGGACAGCATCCCTTTATCCTCCCACCCTGCTGATCAAGGGTCAACTGTAATTCCCATCCCGTTCACCTCACCAAATGCTACCAATGTTCCTAAATTGTTCTGTATTCTTCCAGATAGGAATATGGATGTTTTTTGTTATAGTCAAACAACTTAATGTTCTGCTCAGTTAAACTGTTAATGAAGTATTAACAAGCAAGTTTACAGCATTTGTTTTAATGGCTATGTAAGGGTCATCTGTAATTATATGAGAAAATGAATTTGTTTTAAACCTATTTGCTTAGGACTATACACACATCCTCATTCTAAGCCATCCTCTTCTCAAATATTGTCTTTCCTTCAAGAATGATAATTAAATCTAATGTACTCCATGTCTCATCTTTTTCATATTCTCCATCTTTTTCTGCTGATTTAGTCTTGATTCAATCTAGTTTGTTATTTAATTTACAACTGAAGTTTTAATTTTAATGATTTTTTTATTTCTAAGAAGTTCTTTCAATCTTTCCTAATTATGCCTGAGCTTTTTCTGATGGAGTTATTTTCCTTCTTCAGGGTTTCTATTCCTTCTTGTAGCATTTTAAATGCTTGTACATTACTATATAGACTTACATGTATCTTTACTGGTATCTTTTTCCAGTTACATGCTTATTTTGTAACCACCTTGAGAGTTGTCTATCACTATCTTTAATTCCTGCAGTGCTATTTTCCAGTTGTACCTGATCATCTTTACTGGTGTAATCCATAATTTAATTGTGAGGTCACCTTCTCTAAGGATTGTTTTGTCTATGGATGCTATTACCAATGAAGAATGAAAATGTCCCTGGGAGTTTCCGTTGAGTTCTGGAATTAGGGTTCCCACATCAAGTAGTTAGTACATATTTATATTACAGAGACATCTACATAAGACCTAGGCTGAGATTTTTATTTACTCCCTCCTCTTCCAAAGTCCTGGGCAGAGGGACAAAATTCCTCATAGCTTTCACTGTCTGCAAGTTTTCCCTTTCCATGGGTAATTCAGTTTTTTTGACACAGGCTAAGTTCCAGTTCCCCTCTCTACTGAGTTCTAAGGCCTTTTGTCCTTGCATGTACACTAAAATGTTAATATCCAATCCTCAAGCCCCATATGTATATTTCACATACCCAAAAACAAACAAAAAACTGGCCCATTTTGGCTTTGGGTCACCTCTGCTTTGCCTTTCATCTGGAGGTTACTCTTTCTTTCTTTGGAGCTTGGATATTTATTGAAAAAGCTTTAATTATATTCCACATTTTAGTCTGTTGATGGGGGTAGGCGACTCCACAGAGGCTTAGCCTACTATGTTATCCAAAGCCCCACAATATGGTTTTTTCAAAAAGTAAACTGTTGTAAAATACTCTTGCAGGGTATGCCTGACCAACTACTGACAATCCACCTAGTATCCAAATCAGTGAAAATAATCTCAAAATGCAAATATACACACAACTACCATTATAATTCTCCTTCAATCATTCAAGTATTAATCAAGTTTCAGGCATAGTGCTAGGGAGTGCTAGTGGAAGAAACAGGCATGTTAATAACAAGAAGCCTGAAGGACTAGAATAAAGGTGTTACCACAAATTTGGGAGAAATTGTTTGGGAAATTATAATTTGCAGGGGGGAAATAATCTATTGGCTCTTTAGCATGTTAATCCTGAGCATCCAGGAATACATGCAAGTAACTACATGCAGGGGACACAAGACTATTTCAAAGATCTGGAATTAATCAGCTCAGTAGCCTTAACTGAAGAAAGTAATACACAATAAATATATACTACAGAGATAATTTTAAAAATCCAATTCCTCCATAACAAAAAATTTACACTGTTTTCCTCTCTGAGTGTAGATACTAAGAGACCTGGGATTCCAAAGATATATTCCCAACTTTTACCTTAAAGCTCTTTATTATAAGAGTTCTATATTTGACCTATCCATGACCTGAAGAGCTAGGTCTAGCTGTTTTGGCTTCAATTTCTGATATTATGGAAAGTGGAATTAACTACTAGTAACTGTCACAACGCAATTTGCATTTGATACAATATTTGCATAGATGCAGCAAAATTGCCCAATGTAATGTGATAAAACAAGCAGCTTCAACCTCATTTTAACCACTAGAGGGCTACCTTGTCATTTGATTTCTGATCCCTCAGCCACTCAATTTTAGAAATACTAATCACTATGACTTAAAATAGTTTTATTCTGCAGTAACTTCTTATTTTAATACTTAGCAATAAATACTTAGCAATATCAGACCACTTTATACACCAGAGGACTTTGTAGACAGGAAAATGTGGTAATATACTAACGACTGGAGGAGTCTCTCCTTAGGATAGCATGCTGGGCAACAAAAGTAGGACTCCTCAGCCCTGAAATAAGAAACCCAAGTTCTCTCATATTTGTTGGTCAGCTTTTATAATATTGATGGACTTACGTTTTAAGCGTTCCAGATGTCATAAGTTCAGTCACCAAAACAATGCACTTCTTTCCTTTTACTGTCGATTCCCAAGAATCATAGAATCGAACAATATTAGGATGTTGAAGGCCCTTTAACATTTCAGCCTCTTCTTTAAATCTCTGCCTCTCAGACTTTGTTAACTTTCGATCCTAAAATCAAAAGCCAAAAGAGAATATGGTTTAAAATAATAAAATACCAAGGCACAGTTAAATTTAGATGGTAAACATGTACTAAATATAATGATCTATAGTGTTAAAACAAGAACACTTAACACAAATGTTACTAATAACTAGTAACTTCATCAGCCTGTCGGTGTGAGAACAGGCTAAAGTGTATTTAAGAAAAATATGGATATAAAATCATACTTGAGATTATTTTCATATTTTTACCATTAATATGTGCTTCATACATAGTCTCATTTTGTAGGTACAGTTAACTCCCACTTCTAAATTAAGTCATCTATTGCTAGGAACAAGCAGGGCTTTGGAAGCAGAAAGATCTTAATATAAATTACAATTGTTTTTTTTTTTGTTTTGATTAGAATTTCCTTTAGGAATACATATGTTCACCTCACAGGACTATTTTAGGAATTAAATAATCTACTAGGCATGCTTTTGTCACATGTTTAAAGCACCGGGCACTTCATAGGTTAATTTACTTACCTGAGATGAACTGGGAAAAAAACCATTTAACTTGTTCAGTTTGACAAGGTCCCACATACACGAACTCTGAATCGTTTTGTAAATTAAAACTAAAACTATCTCTGTCATACTAATATCCTGTCAAAGCATGTAACACATAATATTTTAACAAAATATCCCAGGCATACGATAAATCAATGTGTCCATCAAAATAATTAAACATTACAGACATAATGTAAAGACCCCTATGTAACTAGACTTCCAAAACTACTACTTACCTGTGAATAAGCACTACCCTAAATTTAGACACACCATTCCCAAATGGACTTTTACATTTTATATAAAACGTTGAAATTTTATAAAATGACATTATAGAGTATGTGTTCTTTGGAAACTGCTTTTTTTGACTCAGTATTGGTTTTTCTTTGGTTGGAGACTGTTAAAGTATCATTGATATACAATCTTACTTTGGTTTCAAATATACAACACAGCAGTTCAGCAGTTACCCATATTATTAAATCCTTACCCTCTTCAGCACAGTTACTACCTGTCAATATAGTAAGATGCTACAGAATCACTGACTATATTCTCCATGCTGTACTACTGTCCCTGTGACCAACTTATATTGTGATTGCGAATTATTGGGCCCCTTTATCCCCTTCACCCTCCTCCCCCAACCCTCCCCAACCGCTTGCCCTTCGTAACCACTATTCCCTTCTCGGTGTCTATGAGTATACTGCTCTTTTGTTCCTTCTGTTTTGCTTTGTTTTTATACTCCACAAGTAAGTGAAATCATACACTCAGTACTGATTTGAGACCACCAATGATGGCATACAAGGAGATATTACAAGAGATCTACCATATTATTATTACAAGTTGGCTTTGTTTATTATCACTGTTAACATAGTTATCCATTTTCTGAATATATCATAATTTATATAATCTCTTACTGATGAATCTTTAGGCTGCTCTTCATTTTAAGCTACTACAATACTGCAATCGTGTGGCAATGTTAATCACCTTGGACATATGTTTAAGAGTGTCTTAAGATACAGGTTCTTAACTTGGGGTCCACAAACACCTTTGAGGCAGATTTTTTGAACTTGTGTGAAAACAAATAAATATTTATTTTTCATCAACCTTGAATTCAAATTTAGCATTTCCTTCATTATGAATGCTACCAAACAGCAGGACCAGTGATTTTCATCACAAGCAGACTTAGATATTTTAACACGTAACAGTGCAGATTATCTCAAAGTATCATTTTACACTAATCATTACTTTGACATTATGATAGCTATTAGATCTTGCAGTAAATCATATAAGTATGCACTAATAATGTACACTATATGAAATCACAAACTTAAGCATTTTTCATAACTCATTATCATTCATTTTCACTTAATCCTATGTATTATATGGACTTAAACTATTATTTTAGCCTTCTTCACTAGCCTTCAAAAGAGATCTATGGCACCAAAAAACAGTAAAGACCTATTAGGTTACATGGCTAACAGAATTACTGGATCATAAGGTATAAACACCTTCAATTTTCATAGGTATCAAAAAATTACTTTAACAATTTATCTCCCAAAAGCATTGTATCAAGGTTCCCATTGCTGCACATGATCACTCACAATTGGTAATATCAGACATCAACTCTTGTCAGTTTGATGAGTGTAAAATCATATACTTTTCCTTAATTTACATTTCTAGAGTCAATAATAAATTTGAGAAACTTCTTGTTTTCTTCTCAGATTACTTGAGATTCCTCTTCTGCAAAAAAGATGCCCAATCCTATCATTTGTTGCTTTACCTTTTTAAGTTCTTAATATATTCTGGATACTAATCCTTTACTGATTCTATGAGTTACAAATATCTTTTCTCAATTTGTGGTTTGTACTTCCACCTCACTTATTATGTCTTTTGTTTCACAGACGTTTTAATTTCACTATAGTTCAATTTATCTATCTTTTACTTTGTGGGTGGTGGGTTTTACATCTTCAGTAATTCGTCCAGACACTGAGGTTGTAATTTTTCTTCTCCTTTTTAAAATATAAATCTGTTTTGTTTACCACATTTGGGAATTATTTGTTGAAGAATTTATTTGGTTGGGAAAAAGGAAGACTGGCTGTTACCTTTTTTTTAATCAACAAATTACCACAGTACCATTTGATGAACAATACATCTTTTCCATGTAAGTGTAGTTTCATTACTGGATTCTCTATTCTATTCCAAACGTCTATTTCTGCACCAATACCACACTTCCTTAATGCTATAGTTTTTTTTTTTTTTTGAGAGGGCATCTCTCATATTTATTGATTGTTATTATTTGATTGTTAACAACAATCAAATTCTGTATAGGGGACTCAATGCACAATCATTAATCAAATCTTCTGAAGCATAACGAACAAGTTCTTACATGGTGAACAAATTCTTACATAGTGAATAAGTTCTTACATGGTGAACAGTGCAAGGGCAGTCATCACAGAAACTTTCGGTTTTGATCACGCTTAATGCTATAGTTTTAATGATTCATACTTGGTAGTACCACTTCCTACAACAGACCCTTCCCCAAATTTATTTTCTAAATTACCTTGGTTACTTTTTTTTCCTATGAGAATACTTTCATTTTTATAACAAATTATAGCATAAGCCAACTAAAACTATCAGAATATTGCCAAGAAGTTTAATTAAAGGCATACTAATTGGAATGACACTGAGGTAGTACATCTGTTTTCCAATAACCCTTTCTTCCAAGTAGCATATATTAATTTTTTAAACTTTATTGAAGTACATACAAGTTGCATGCCACAAAAAAATCACTAATCACCACTCCCCATCTTATACCTTATTTCCCCAAATATTTTAGTACTATCCTATTACTCTTTACTTAAGTAGACACCATTATAATTTTTAATTGAACAGTATCACCTAACTTACATTTACCCATATTATCTTTGTTCATCATTACCTTTTGCTCTCCTTCCCATCTCTGGGTTCAATTTTCTTCTTTCTTGAAATACATTTTCCAAACTCTTTAAGTGAACATTCGTCCATTAGCGGCATAATCCTAGGCTGTTTGAAATGTTTATTTCATTATCACTCTTGAATACCAATTTAGATGGATGTGGAATTCTAGGTTGCAAACAACCCACCACCACCCTCTGCCAGCACTTTCAAGATACTGTTTCATGGTGTTCTGGTCTGTATTGAAGCTGTCAATATAAACATACTCCTTTGTAGATCATCAGTATTTTCTGTCTGGTTGCTCGAAAGACTTAAAAAAAAAATTGTGCTCTGCACCATTACTACCATGCATCTAGTTTTATTTATACATAATGGGGTTAACTATTTTTTAAGCCAAAAGTTTCAAGTTATCTGTCTTTAAGTCAGGAAAATTCTCAACTGTTATTTCTTTGCATATTTTCCTCCTCCATTCTCCATTCTCTTCTTTATAATATTTTATGTGTGTTTGTGTTATATGTGAAGGTATGTGGGGAGGGAGGGAAAACTTACTCTATCCTTTATATCTTTTAATTTCTCTCTCATTTTTCATTTCTTATTCTACTACCTTCTGGGTAATGTTCTCAGATCTACCTTCTTTTCTTGCTCACTAACTCTCTTGAGTTATTATATTTAACCTGCTTATTAACTCTGAAAAAAATTTTTAATGCTATCAAAATTTAAAGGAGACAGGGATGTAAAGGACATGTGACAAGATCTCAGTCCCTGCTCCAGAAATAATAAACAAACACAAACCAGATGAACACTTCCAACTGAACATACAGGTTTTGGAGGGCTGGGTAGACAGGCTATCCATAAAGAAAATAAAACCTACGAACAGTCTGTCTATCACCAAAAGTACCTACTGGGGGGTTTTACAAAGGGAACTTGGTCACTACTCCAGTCTCTACTCTCTCCACTAGCATCATAAAGTTAGGAAGGTAAAAAGAAGAAAAAGCTAGGTACTCATATTAAAGGCTTCAGTGGGGAAGGAATTCTCTTGCCATTTCTCTAGGTCCAATGCCTGGGGGAGGCATTGTAATTACCCCTCCCCACTCTGTGTTAACTCTACACATGGGGTTTTGAATGAAACATAACTGGCAGCTCAATTTGCAATGATCCCCTTCAACCTCTACTCCATCCAAGCTTCATGAACAGGTAAGTTTTCCTAGCATTCTCTTTGGAATTTCTTCCCTCTCAGGACCTGCTCCATCTCCAAATTACCACCGCAAGACTGTCCTCTCTCAAAGTTCCTGAAAAACCCCCTTTCACAGCCCTTTTATCACTTTCATTTCCACTTCCAACAGGTGGTTGCAACCAAAGTCACATGCCCTGTCCGCTGAGACTCAGATCCCTGGCAGCAGAGCTCAATCATCTTGGGTTATCCTCCTAAAATAAAATGTTCCTTTCCCAGAGAACAGAAAGCCAAAGGACAAGTCAGAGTATCTGGAGCCAGACGACCAAGGTGATACTTGTCATCTAGTTTTAAACTGTAATG